GGATTTTAGATAGAATCATGATTTTGCGTTTGTAGAATTACTGGATTTAGACTGGATCTTGCAGCTGGCGCTTAAGGTTTTTAACAGACTGGATCATGAAACTGGCGTTTAAGGTTTTAAACAGACTGGCACTCGTTGGAATGTTGTTCACACTGCGAGCATGCGGACAGACTTAAAACTTTCAGTCTTCGAACAGACAGTCCCATTTACTTGTCATAGATGCTGCTTAATTCTGAGTTTATTATCAACTTGGCTTACTTTGTGGATTACATTTTAACATATGCTGGTCGAGCCGGTACTTTTTTGGAAAACAAGAATCCCGGGAATAATTCTAGTCTTAGAAATCTATCAATATCAAGTCATCAGCAAGTCTTGTTGGTTTCCGAACATTCGATCGAGTTCAAGACAGTAGACAATCTTCAGACACAATTCTCAGCTATTTTTTAAGTGATCAAAATAAACCTGCATCAGCTAAGAGTCAAGGAACTTGCAAGTGACTAAACCTAATTGTCACGAAAGAAATCTTCAAATATCCAGGTTTGAATCTCAGTATAAATTGAGGAAAATGATAATTTTCTTTAAAATCTTCAAGTCAGTCTCGTATGACGTCCAGATTGCAAGCTATTACCAACAAAAAATCCATTATATCTGCTGATTCCCCAAAAACAAATTTTTTATAATCCAACATAAAAAAACCTTCACCTATTCAAATCAATTGTGATCCAGAGGTGCGCTAGGGCGTTTCGCAGCTAATGAGAGTTTAACGAGTGAGGATGCACCAAACCACTGCACTCAAACCTAGACCTAGAATTTATAGTGGGATCCGAACTCCTCCTTTGATGATATTACTGCCTGTAGCCTACAAAGAAAGGCTGTGAGGCTCATTTCCAGTACATATGATTCGAAAAAGGACAAGTAAAACTTTTTCATACCGAGTCTCGAACCCATGATCGCTGTGTCGGTTTTGCAATAATTAGGTACCGAAATACTAAACCACTGAGCCACTTCAGCTCACAATCCAACAAGTCAGTCCAAAACATAATTCCATCCAAAGCCCAATTCAATTACATCACCACCACGAAAGTCACAGTCTATTCTTTATTCATCTGACAACATCTCGTAGCTCGAAGCTTTAAGACCATTAAAATTTACATCTTTGGTGGTTTATTGACGATATTAGAAAAACATTTCCTTTGATTATATTACATTTTATTTGACTCTTCTGTTGTTTATTTATTTTACACCATTATCATCATATAGACATCATGCCATGTAAAAAATGAGAAGAACAAAGAGAACAGAAAGAGAGAAGATGACTGAAATTTATTTTGATCATTCTAATTTATTGAATAAAGCATTATGTAAGCATCGCGAGAGGAAGAGAAAAGATTTGTGACATTTTTTTTTCATGACAAAAAAAAAGAAATCTTTTTACAAACAATGTTCTTTGGTGATGCTTGACGTGTGTGATATGTAAATTGGTACACATGATTTTTATGAGGGGTTAGAGGCTAAAGCGCATTTTTCAAAAATGTAATAAATCTGGTTCTTTTTGTTTTGATTCAATGGATTGCAAATGAGGTTGATATTAAAATAGTATTATGTATCTTTTACAGAACATACCATAGAAGTTCGTAAACCTTAGTATGGTGAAGAGTCTAGTAGCTTCTAAAACCTAGTATTGTGTACACTCAACTAGTTTGTGAACATTAGTAGCTTGTAAAACCTAGTAGTTTGCCAACCTTAGTAGTTTGTCAACTCTAGTAGTTCGTAAACCCTAGTAATTTGTAGACTGTAGTAGTTCGTAAAACCTAATAGTTTGACAACCTTAGTAAATTGCAGACTCTAGTAGTTCGTAAAACCTAATAGTTTGACAACCTTAGTAATTTGTAGACTCTAGTAGTTCGTAAAACCTAGTAATTTGACAACCTTAGTAATTTGTAGACTCTAGTAGTTCGTAAAACCTAATAGTTTGACAACCTTAGTAGATTGTCAAACTTAGTAGTTCGTAAACCTTAGTAGTTTGTCAACTCTAGTAGTTCGTAAATCCTAGTAATTTGTAGACTCTAGTAGTTCGTAAAACCTAGTAGTTTGACAACCTTAGTAATTTGTAGACCCTAGTAGTTCGTAAAACCTAATAGTTTGACAACCTTAGTAGATTGTCAAACTTAGCAGTTCGTAAACCCTAGTAATTTGTAGACTCTAGTATTTCGTAAACCCTAGTAATTTGTAGACTCTAGTATTTCGTAAACCCTTGTAATTTGTAGACTCTAGTAGTTCGTAAAACCTAATAGTTTGACAACCTTAGTAGATTGTCAAACTTAGCAGTTCGTAAACCCTAGTAATTTGTAGACTCTAGTATTTCGTAAACCCTAGTAATTTGTAGACTCTAGTAGTTCGCAAAACCTAATAGTTTGACAACCTTAGTAGATTGTCAAACTTAGTAGTTCGTAAACCTTAGTAATTTGTAAACTCTAGTATTTCGTAAACCCTAGTAATTTGTAGACTCTAGTAGTTCGTAAAACCTAGTAGTTTGACAACCCTAGTAAATCGTAAAACCTAATAGTTTGACAACCATAGGAGTTTGCCAACCTTAGTAGTTTGTCAACTCTAGTAGTTCGTAAATCCTAGTAATTTGTAGACTCTAGTAGTTCGTAAAACCTAGTAGTTTGACAACCTTAGTAATTTGTAGACCCTAGGAGATCGTAAAACCTAATAGTTTGACAACCTTATAAGATTGTCAAACTTAGCAGTTCGTAAACCCTAGTAATTTGTAGACTATAGTATTTCGTAAACCCTAGTAATTTGTAGACTCTAGTAGTTCGTATCCTAGTAATTTCTAGACTCTAGTAGCTCGTAAAACCTAGTAGTTTGACAACCTTAGTAATTTGTAGACCCTAGTAGTTCGTAAAACCTAATAGTTTGACAACCTTAGTAGATTGTCAAACTTAGCAGTTCGTAAACCTTAGTAATTTGTAAACTCTAGTATTTCGTAAAACCTAGTAAATCGTAAAACTTTGTTATTCATAAACCCTAGTAATTTGTAAACTCCAGCCCCTGGAGTATTTATATTTACAACAGCTAAAAAGTCAAAACAAAGCCAATTCCACATTTACATCATAAAATGTTCTTAATTCCGTTCCAAAAGCTGGTACATATTTCACCATATTGTTGTTCTTGTTGTAAACATTTTAATATAAATATCATCATTATCGTCGTCGTCACCACACCACTCGACATTCAGAACAGATGAGTTAATACATATATTTTGGTCCAATAATGTAAATAATATTTTTTTTTGGTGAAATTCTAGATGAGTCGGAAAATCACCTAGTGTTTTATTATCATACTTCTGTATTAAGTTTCTTTATTAAATTGTAACTATGGTTATCTATGTCACAAAATATTGTTTTTTGGTCGATTCAATTTCAGTAAAAATATTTCCTTACTCAATAAATTTATTGATGACATGAAATGTATCAAGTTTTACTTATTATTATAGGAAAGTTTTATATTTGTTTTATGTTGTACAATGTGAGGGGAATAAAGACGTCTATCATGTCAAAATAATTCACATTACGGTAGAAATTCTGTCCAAACTTTTTAAACTACAAAGAAAAGAAATTAATTTAATAAATTTTACTTTTTGATATTTTTATAAACTTCAAAATTGATGTAAAATTTTCACATTTTTTTAAAACATTTGTTGATATAATTCAATAAGTGAACAATAATTGGATATAAATTTCATACAATTGATATGGAAAATGAAAAAAAAAATTCTAGCAATAAATATCAAAATTAAATTTAAACACGATCGTAAAAGTTTTTTTCCATCAATTTTATGTTGACATAAGCAATATGAGGGACTTTATGGCTTTTTCATATCAGAAAAGAATTACTTTTTAAAATTCAGGTGTCTATCTGTGCACTTTTAGGTGGAACATACTTTTTGGGGAGCATTTTTTAATTGAAGAGTCGCTTCCATTTGAAAAAATAAATAATAAATCCATCAAAATTTCCTGCTTTAGACCTTAGGATCGATTTCTTGGTCTACCCGACTCTTCACTAGTCACAGTAAACCTTTTAATAATTAAATTTAATAGTGTAGGACGTCAAGAATTAATTCAAGAATAAGAATGTCTTTACAAACCAGTCCTTGGTCAGCCTATTCAAAAATATTCCTTTGGGAATAATGAGTTACTGAGTGGGCAGTAATTGCGCAACAATTAAATGTTGTAAATTTTACTAACCTCTTTAATTTGATAAATAATAGTTTGATTGTTATGGAATCAAAAAATTAAATTTCTACAAGATTTGAACACTTGGGATTAATTCATATGAATCCTGAAGATATCCGAGAAAAGGTCTTAATACTTTCTAAAATAACATTTTATTAATTGCATTAGATTCTGAAGTGGCTAAAGAGGCTGAAGTGGCAGAATGATTTCGTACTTCGTAACCGAAGTATTGAAAAACCGACACAGCGATCATAGGTTCGAGACCCGGCATGAAAAATTTTACGCTTTTACTTTCTCGAATCATGTGTACTGGAAATGAAGCTCACAGCCTCCCTTAGTAGACTACAAACAATAAAGTAATCAAAAGAGTGATTCGGATCCCACTATAAACTGTAGCTGCAGGTTTGAGTGCAGTGGTCTCGGCTAGAAACTTCTCTTTGGATCACAGTTGATCTGAAAAGGTACCGAATAGATTCTGAAGTTGTTTTATGATCAAGACAATTATTTCTCTGTGTTTCGAGCGTTTAAGCCTTGTTTTTTTTAAACTTATTAACTTATTGTTGTCAACTTCTCTCCCTATTGGCTTGCTCTAATTACTCATAAAATACAGGTTCATTACCAACTATCCCTAATTCCAATTATCGTTGAATCTATTAAATTTTAATAATCACTCTTGACTATGTTTAAAGGCTTGTTCCTTAAAATATTGTGAACATTACATTTGAAGTTACAACATAGTCAAGATTATCACCTTAAATAATGGCTAATCCGTCAGAAATTTTAAGTTGTAAGTTAAAGGAATAATCTTAAAAGTCAATTTATCCAAATTAAATTTTTACCTAGCTTATATGCTGTACTTGAATAGCTTCTCAAGATTCTTTGGATTCAGTTCAACTGATAAATTTGTATTTAATAAGAAAGTAAAGACAATTTTTCTTCTGATGGCTCTTTTACAAATTCGATTGATCACCATCATATACATGAACAGGCATAAACTTTTCTTAATATGTGAAATTTTGATAACAAACTCGTTTCTATTGCAAGTAAGTCGGATATAAAATATTAAGATAATTTCTTAAAATAAAACGCTTATCCATCTAGGGTGCTGCAAGATTATATGGCTTTAGATTTTTGGGATCTGTTATAAAATCAAGAAAACTTTTAACAGAACTCTATGAGAACAATGAAAAATTGCATTCGGAGCTTTTAAACATTAAAATAAAAACTGTAAAGATTTTGGTCAATATCCTTATGGTGACAAACCTGCTTTCCTATCATCTTTCGTCATTTTCGATATTAATTCTTAACTGGATTTATGATGATAATCAAGTTTTATTCTCATCCGTCAATATTCCATTTGTCGATACAAATACAAGAGCAGGATATATTGCAATTTGGTTCTTACATCTCTTCATGTGCAGCTTTGCATTCTTAAACTTTATTTCATACGATTCGGAATCACTTTTCTTTGGATTTCAGTCTTGTGTATTTACTGAATTAATTTGTGATAAGATTATGGAGCTAAATAAGCTCATGTTGAGGGTTAACAGAGACATTCAATTTGAAACAATCAAGTTTAAAAAGTTGGTAGCACCGAAATTATACTTTGCAGCTATTAAGCAATCTGGAAATGAGAAAATGGAAAAACTTTTGAAGAGCATTATCATGAACCATCAAATTTATTGTGAATATATATCCAAAATTAATGACTTTATGTCAGGAACAAACTTTGTTTCTATTGCTACAAACTATATTGTCATTAGTGTCTGCATCTTAGAGATTCTAACAGGATCAACACACATTAGATCAGCTATTGTTATGATTATCCTTTCACTACAAATAACCATTCCATGTGTGATTGGATTCTTCATTAGCTATCATGTAAGTATTTCTAATAAGCTATTCTAGTAAGTTTTTAACATGATTTTTTATTCTATTAAGAATTCTCGCATGCTTCAAACAGTTTGTGGTTTTCCTTGGTATCAGTTATCAGCAAAACATAAGAAAATCTATCTTCAATTCATTCAGATTTGTCAGCATACTCCGACTATAAAGATTTCTATTTTCGGAGATTTGGGAATGGAACTTTTGAAATATTTAGGCAATGGTGCTTATTCGTATGCTGCAACAATGCAATTGATTGCTAAGAAGTATTTTTAAATCGAATATTTAAGAACTTTGGAATTGTCAAGGCTTTAGTCGACAATGTTTTTTGAAGAAGTTATAATTATAATTTGAAAAGTTATAATTGGATGATATAATTAAATGTTGATAATTTTCCTCATGTCCCTAATTTGATAAAGAATAGCTTGATAGTTATCAAACATCTGTTAACTTTTTAACTTATTGTAAATTGAACATATTTAACCCAATTTAACATAATTACTCAAAAAACTCGTGTTTATAACTATCCTTAATTTCAATTGTCATTGAAAGTCATTGAAATTCATTCAATTCTTAATTAAAATGGCACATTTGTCTGGTTCTTTAAAATATTCTGAGCATTAACTGTGAAGTTGTAATAGAGTCAACATCATTTTACGAATGGCTAAACCATCAGAAACCTTAAACAGTAAGTTAAGAATTAATCTTAAACTTTAATATCTTAAAAAATCTCTTACTTAGTCTACATGCTGTACCTAAATAGTTTCTCAAGATTCTTTGGATTCAGTTCAACCAACAGTTTTACAATTAACACTAAAGTAAGGATCATTTTTCTTCTGATGGCTCTCATGCAAGCACTAATGATCGCTAAAATGTACTTGAAAAGACATGAACTTAAGTTGATCTTTGAAATTTTGGTGACAAACTCGTTTCTGTTGCAGGTAGGATTAATATAAAAATTATAAATTATTTTCTAAATGCATTGTAATAATATTATAGGGTGCTGCTAGATTGTATGGCTTCAGATTTTTAGGTTCAGTAGTGAAGTCAAGACAAATTCTAACCGAATTGTACAAGAACAATGAAAACTCACATGAAGAGCTATTGAACAAGAAATTAAAAACTGTAAAGCTTTTAGTCAATATCCTAATGATTACAAACTTAGTATCTTATCATTTTCCTTCATTCACTGTTCTAATACGTAATTGGATTTATGAGGATAATCATTTTCTTTTTTCATTCATCGACATTCCGTTCGTTGACAAACATACAAGGACAGGCTACTTATCAAGATGGTTCTTGCATCTCTTCATATGCAGTTTGGCATTTTTCAATTTCATTTCTTATGATTTAGAGTCAATTTTCTTTGGATATCAAGCAAGTGTGTTCACAGATTTGATTTGTGCTAAAATGATGGAGCTAGAACAACTTATGTCTAGAATAGATGCCGATTTTCAACTTGAAACTAGAAAGTGTGCTTATTTGGTAGCACCACAAACCTATTTAGAAATGGTAAAGCAATCTGGAAGTGCTAAATGTGAAAAATTATTGAAAAGTGTCATTCAAAGTCATCAAATCTACTGCCAATATATTTCTGGAATCAATGACTTTATGTCAGGAACAAACTTTGTTTCTATTGCTGCAAACTATATTGTCATTAGTGTATGCATCTTGGAGATTCTAACTGGAAAAACATACTTTATATCAGTCATTGTTATACTGATTCTTTCCCTTCAAATCACCATTCCGTGTGTGATTGGATTCTTCATTAGCTGTCATGTAAGTATTTGATTCCATTCTAATTAATTATCTGAGGAAGTTTCTAACATGAACTTTTTATTCCCTTAAGAATTCTTGCATGCTTAAATTCGTGTGTGATTTCCCTTGGTATCAATTATCAGCAAAACATAAGAAAATTTATCTTCAGTTTGTTCAGATTTGTCAACATACTCCGACTATACGAATTCCTATTTTTGGCGATTTAGGAATGGAACTTTTAAAGCATTTGGCCAATGGTGCTTATTCTTATGCTGCAACAATGAAGTTGATTGCTAAGAAGTATTTTTAAATGGATTAAAGTATTACTCGATCAGTTAATGTCGATGTGTTGTCCATGCAGGATCAAGTATACAGGAAGGGTAGGGAATTATTCCAAATGATAAGTTCCGTACCCTTGGCTAGTGGTATATTTAGAATCAAGCAACATTAATTTGAAAGTAATTTCTAGTTGCTAGTGCATAGTTCTAAGTTTAATGTAAGCTTGACCAATATGTGGATTGCATTCAACTTATAGCAGTCGGGTTTTTTGTGTGATATTTAGTAAGAATCGAATAAGATGTGCGGAGCAGGTGGTCTAGGGCAGTGGTGCCCAACTCTTTTTTGTTTCATGGCACAATTGGTTGTCAGCCATGACCAAAACCCCACACAGCATATGATTTGAGGGATATTCCAAATTTTCTCACACTAGTGTGCCGCGGCACACGGGTTGACCATCACTGGTCTAGGATGTATGACATGTCATAGCTTGAATCAATTGATCTCGATTTTGAATATTTTATTAATTATCAATGTACATCCCTTGTGGACAGCTCAGGACATTTATAATAGAATCATTGCATGTCACAGACTATTTGTGATTTCTAATGACATAAACAGTCATTAGACATAAGAGGATTCCCTCACAGTTGAAAATATTGTTTATTCATCAAAATTGTTGACAAACTAAATATAGAATCAACTTATTATTGTATTCTGCTTATTTTTATAGAACTTTTATGTAGTCCCATGGACTGTGTACGTCAGAAGAAAATATTTCCATGTAAACAACATTTTATTGCATTATTTGTCTCAAAGATTTATGTGAAAATAATTTTTTTTGTGTGTATAAATATATGGCAGACGTCTCCCGTCTCAATTTGAAGTATATAAGCATACGATGCAGTAAAATAATTTTCATCCATGTCATAATTGAATTTTAATATCACAATATTGCACATTCTTCCTTCACTTGCAATAAAAAGAAACTCAATGAACATTAAAAATCATAAAAAAATCATTTTTACGATTCATTATGAAATAAAAGTTATTATTACATTAAGCCTATTGAGAGTCATCGCCCACTTGCTTTATAGATTTCTAATGAAATCAATAATACTCAATTGGATGTAATGAGTTTTATTATTTTTTATGAAGAGAGAGAGTCTTTAATTCCTGCAGGATTTGTCGTTTATACGTTCATAAGTGCAAATTAAATGCAATTGTCAGTAATTCATTGTGGAGATTAAGACACTAAAATAATATGGAATTAAAAGTTATGGGGGTTTGGTTACAATACCGGAGAAAATTATAAAAAAAAACTTTAGAAATAGGAAGACATTGGGTGTTTGTGACTTATTGGTATTAGACATAAGTGGCTTTGGATTGGATATTAGTATGGAATTAGATTTAATATCGGATTTTGAGTTGAATTGCAGTTTTGATTGTCTTTTGAGTCTATTGAGTGTGCACAAATAGATGAGAAATAAGAAGTTTGGAATCGCATTGTAGAAAACCATCACTGAGACTTATAAGAATTCAGAAGCGTAGTCTAAAGTATATACCAACTTTGCAGCTTAAGCTTCAAACCTGAAAATACAATCAACCTTTCTCTCAAGGCGTGAAAACTATCCCAAATATCCCATTTATCCCATATATCCCAAAAATATTCAAAATAATTCCTGAGCCTGTATGCATTAAAATTGAGATATCCCATCATATCCTGAAGTTACACGTCCAATACACTAAGGATACGTTGGGATATCTTTATTATCGTGCATACATGCTCAGGAATTTTTTGAGTATTTTTGGGATATGTGGGATAAATATGATATTTGGGATAGTATCCACGCCTTGCTTCCTCTTATACACATCCTGCTCAGATCAACCTCATTGAAAAAACACAAAAAACATCCACATTGTCTGAAAAGAGTTCAAAGACTCGATTTATTCCATCAGCTTTACATATATTTTAATGAAAATATACAATTTTATACAAAATCATACGCAGAGAAGCACATTCACTTTTGATGAAATTCATCATGTATTAACCAGCTTTTACTGTTTAATCTACTTCATCGCCGCGAGCATACTTTAATGTAAATTTATCTTCAATTTCAACATTCTTTATCCCATATCTATGATATATATATGCCTGCATACACATGCTTACAATCACACTTCCTCATAATGCTGTTCATGATACGACTTTTTATCTCCAATTGCCAATAAATTTCAATACAAATCGTGAATTATGAGTCGAATAAGAAAGAAAAGAGCAAGAAAGAAAGGAAAGGAGAAAAATAAAGAGAGTCTCGGCATAGATCGAATCATAAATTAATTCACAAAAAGATTTTTTTTTATTCACATTTTTTATCGTCTTTATTGGTCATCGTGCCATGAACAGCGCACACACAAAAATACGAAATGCTGTAGCCATCCACCCACAATGTGTTTATTATTGTTATTTCTATATGTATGTGCAATTATGAAAAATATGGATGGCACTAGGCACTCGCTGACTAACTTAATGACACACGCTCTTAAGTAGACGAGGACCACCATGATCGCAGCGAACGCATCACATGATGTTATTATTTTATACACACTTATTATTATTTTTATGCATTCATTCATTTCATTCATTTCTTAAAAGATGTTTTATTGAGCCTTCAAGATGTTGGCTTTATGATTGTTATTTCTTTCTTATTCCCCGAATGTATCCATAAGCCACAACAAAAGGAATCACGCACGATACATAAATAAATAGTCTATAATAAAAATAATAATTAAAAAAATGTCATCTTCATGTCTTTGTTATTCCTTCTGTGAGGTCATTTCATTCTTCTCCGGCATTTCTTTCTCTTTCTACGATTTTAAGAAAATAAAAAAAAGAAGGTAGAGGAATAATGAGTTTGGAGACCGATATAGAGCGATAAAATTTATGTTTTAAAGCCTTCTTACACGACATTCAAATTGAATATTTTTGTTGGATGTTAATGAATCCATTCGTTGCATATCTGCAATGTAATTTAAAAAATTATAATAAATTTTGGGCTTGTTTGGAGTTGAAATATATTTTGAATTGGACTAGAATTAGGTCTAATGTGGGTTGAAGTTGTTTTGTAGAGCATTTACTATGTGATTAGCGTAGTCAAAGCTTAAATAATGACACAAAATCTTAAGAGCGGATATTAGGTGTAGACAAACCTAAAGCTAAGATTACGGGAATCTAGGGTAGACCAAGGTGTTACTAAAGACAACCTAGGAGTTACTAGGGACTCTCTTGATGATATAATAGCAAACCTAGGTTTTAGTAGTGCTACTAGGCGCTTCCTGGATGCTGGTAAGCGCTATCTTGGTGTTAACATTGCATATCTATATCTTAGTAGAGAATTCTTAGGTTTTAATAAGATACTAGTTTAAGAGTTCATCTCGAACATGATTAAGTGTTCATCTCCAATCAATACCATCAAAAAACTACTCTACAATATTACATTTACTTAGTAAACTCTAGAACACAGCCTTACATGCCCATTTTAGAGTCATTAGTGTAGCCTGACTACTTTCCAACTTTAGTAAATGACACCAGGTATGCATTCCATTTTTCAACTTAACTCTACCACAGTAAACTTCCATCTTCTCATCCATAATCTTCCCAAAACTAAATTTCCTTAGCCATAAATTAAAATTAAAGTCAACGAAAAAAAAAATCCATATTTATTTTATAGGTAATTTTTTTAATACTGATAAGATAATAACGCATAGACATCGAAATGATTTCATCAAAAGTGATTTATAGTAATTTTGCAATCGCATTAAAGTTAATTTCGATTTAACACGCCGTAAATCACCCAAAAAACGATGCTCAACATTTCTTTTTATTCTCTCTCGTGTCGAGAGGAAATGCTTAAAGACAAAAACAAATTTTAATGTTAACTTTTTTCTTTCTTTTTTTGTCTTCCTCGTCTTGATGATATCTTCCGAGATGATCTTGACAAATAGGATGAACTGAAATTACGATAAAGAGATGTGAAAAATGTGTTAAAAATGATGTTGATAAGGCTTTTAAGGAGAAAATAACACTGCAAGATAGATGATTATAAGCTATTGAGTGTGTTTTTTTGGAAATTTATTGACTTCATTAAAATTATGAAATTTTTTTTTTCATGGCATAATTTATTGTGGATCTGTAATATTTATCGAATGCGACATTTTTGAGAAATGAATTTGAAGGTGAAATTTCAAAACTTTTTGATTTTAAGTGTTTTTGAGAAGCAGCAAAAAATTCGTTAATTTTAAATATTTGAATTTTCCTGCACTTTGTTGCAAATTTGTTTACAATTAACTCAACTTATGAAAATAAAATTTTGCAGTTTTTGACTTAATCACAGGAAGTTATTTGGAAAATATAATGGCAAATGCTTTGCTCACACTTTTTAAGCACTTTGAAACCATTTAAATAGCTAATTAGCTTAAAACCAACACAAAAGAAGCTACCAAAGTTTTGATGTGTAGAAATTTTTTTTGTTGTTTGTAAAATTGCAAAACTTTGTAGTTACTAAAGCAACAAAAGCAAGCATTGTTCTTTCTTTCAATGTAGTCACAATGTAAATTGAAATTTTAGTCGTTGATACGGAAAAATTAATTCTCCTAAATTTAATTAAAATTCATATGAGTGGGATTTTCCACAATATAATCCTACACTACAGACTACTGCAAAATTATTACATGAATGCAGAAATTTTCATTCACAACATGTCACTTTCAGAAAGTTATGGCTACTGAATTTTAATGGTGTCGTAAATTCACAAGAATCTCACAAAGAACATTAAGAGCTATTCATAAATGACATCCGACGTAATATAAAAATTTGCAGGACTTCCTTCTTACTCCACAACTCTTTTTTCAACAAAATGTTATTCCGAGCTACACACAGTAGACCTTAAACCTCATGATCAACTCCCAAAAAGCTATAATTTGATAAATTTTAAGTCATGTCTTTCATCATCGTTCAAAATTGAAAATTACAAA